AACCCTAAACCCTAAACCCTAAACTATAAACCCTAAACCCTTTTGGGAATGGAGGCCCGAGGAGGCCCACCTGAGCCCCACTTCCTAAACCCCAAAAGCCTGGAGACCTTAAACGTACCCCCGCTGGTTGCTGGACGGACCCTGTCGGTGGCGAGAAAGAAGGCTAAACCCTAAACTCTGAGCCGTAAACCCTTAAACCCACCCTGAACCCTGAACCCTGAACCCTGAACCCTGAACCCTGAACCCTGAACCCTGAACCCTGAACCCTGAACCCTGAACCCTGAACCCTGAACCCTCAACCCTCAACCCTCAACCCTCAACCCTCAACCCTCAACCCTCAACCCTAACCCTAAACCCTAAACCCGTGTCAAGGGCATCCTAGAATCCTAAGCGCAATGCTGACCACGGGTTCTGAACCTGAAGACGTTCGAGACGTGAAGTTTGGTTTGGCTGGCTGGGGCGCAGCTGCTTAACCCCTAAACCCTTACAAGCCCCAAGCCCTTAAAAGCCTTGAACCCTAAACCCCAAACCCTGAACCCTAAACCCTAAACCCCAAACCCAAACCCTACACCCGAAACCCTAAACCCTAAACTCCATTGCCTCGCTTCGTTTTTCGTTTTGCGCTTCGGGGACGGGTCGGGGGGATGCCTGCTCTCACTACTGTGAGCAGCTTGCACCCTTGAAGCCCTCCGAAGCTTCTTACACCCATTAAACCCTCTAAGGCCACTTACTCCCTTTAAGCGCTTTACACCCTCCAAAAAAACTCCAAGGCCTCCAAAAAGCCTCCAAAGCCTCCAGAGCCTCCGAATCCCAAAACGCTTCCTCCCAGAGCGCGCGGAGCGCGCGGGGCTGCAGCGTCGCGGGTGTGCCGACCCCGGGGTGCAGAGAGGGGGCCTTTGCAGTTTCTAAGCCCTCAGATCCTAAACCCTAAGACCTAAATCCCATACCTACAAGCCCTATAAGACCTCTAAACCTAGGCCTAGGGTTCAGTTGGGGATTAGGGTTCAAGGTTGGGGGACGTATGGTCACCTTGGGGAGTGGGGGTGGGTGTGTCCTCGAATTTCGTAGGTTGCTTGTTGTGGAAGAGTGAACTGCTGATTGTTTTCAGGTTCTACTCCGAGTTTTCAGGTTCTACTCCGAGCTGAGGCTTAGTGACCACCTAAGTAAACCCTAAACTCTTAAACCCCAAAACCCCAAAACCCCAAAACCCCAAAACCCCAAACCCCCAAAACCCCAAAACCCCAAAACCCCAAAACCCCAAAACCCCAAAACCCCAAAACCCCAAAACCCCAAACCCCCAAACCCCAAACGCCCAAACCCCCAAACCCCAAACCCCAAAACCCCCAAACCCCCCAAACCCCCAAACCCCCAAACCCCAAACCCCCAAACCTTAAACCCTAAACCCACAAACCCCCAAACCCCCAAACCCCCAAACCCTCAAACCCCCAAACCCCCAAACCCTCAAACCCTCAAACCCCCAAACCCCCAAACCCTAAACCCTAAACCCTGAACTCTGAACCCCTAAACCCTAAACCCTAAATCCTAAACCCCAAACCCTAAACCCTAAACCCTAAACCCTAAACCCTAAACCCTAAACCCTAAACCCTACACTGCCGAGATGGCTGGCACGATGGGATGCTCGGTGGTGCCGGGGAAGACAGCATTCTCTACAGTGGTGATGGCTATGTGGAAACTCTCTGGGGGTGACTACGACATGGGGGGCGTCGTGAACCGCCGTTGCTGGGGGTGAAACACTTTGGTGGCTTGCGCATGGGTGGTTATCTTGGGGAGGGATGATGTCAGTTGCCTTGTCTCCTTTAACGGTGTGATCGGCATGTGTCATTTTGAGCACGTTGTGATCGGCATGTGAACATGTGGGATGTGGATGGGCAATGTGTCCTGCGAGCTTTCTGGCTTTGCTTTCTTGCTTTCTTCCCCGAGCTCCCCTTGCGTGTTGGCACTGTGCCCATGGCAGTGGTGATGGCCAAATGCGTCGTGACCGCGATGGTGCTGGCGGTGAGGGTGGGAGAATGTGTTCCTGGACGTGGTGTTTGGGATGGGCATGGTGGAGGTGAAGGCCATGGACGGCAAGACGCTGGACGTGGTGACGGGCGAGCACGGGGACGCGGACGTGCCAATGAACAAGGACAAGAACGCGATGGAGGTGGACACAACCGAGGGGACGAGCAGGGTTCAAGTGAGGGGTGGACCACAGCGGACTGGCGCGCGGACTCTTGGCGTGGTGGCGAGTGGCGGTGGTGTGCGCCGTGGGATGGGGCGACGCAGGAGGACGCCTTGTGGGAGGATGGGAGGACTCCTACGTGGACGCCGACGACGGGGACGTTGCCTGCAGATGAACCGGGGGCGAGGGGACCTGTGCCAACGAACACTATCCCATGCCCCACTGGTGGGGAACTGCCTGTTGAAGCTGATGCTCCATGCGCTGGTCGGACTACGTCGTGGCCTTTGCCTTCGAGTTCGGGTGGTGTGGGGAGCGGGTGTGCTACTTCTTCGTCCTCGACTTCGGCAAGGAACGGTGGGGACTTGGGGAGTGGACTACATGATGGCCGTGACCTACGCAATCTTCGCGCCGCCCATGAACGTCGGCTACATGAACTGATTTGGGAAGAAGCTCTGCGGTCGCACGCGTTGAGGGAAGCCGCCATCAAGGAGGGCATCCCGACCTCAGTGGTGGATGCTGCAGTCGGACGTGGGGCGGAAGCGGGGAGGTCGCCGGAGCCCTCTCAACCACATCCCGCACCTCCTGGGCTTGGTCCGGCAACAGCACAACCAACTACGACGTGGGGAGGGACCGCCTTCATCTCGGACTGCTCGGGGTGGACACAGCGACAGTGGGAGGATTGGCTGGCTGCCTCTCAACCCTGGATTCCTCGAGTTCGCAGAGGTGACCAAACCAGGCCGGGCGTGGACCGCTGGACGGGGCGAACGGGGCAGAGGTAGAGTGCAAGTACCGACCGCGGACCTTCACAAGCAGATCACCCGGGACATGCTGGCGAAGGACGACCACCGAGGGATGAGCCACCGCGGGGAGCAACACCACCACACGATGAACACGTGCCGCTCTTTTGGGAGGCTGGAGGGACAGGAGGTGGAGGTAGTTATGGTGTGCAAACTCCCTCTGCGCCACATGATGGAGGAGAGAGCGGGGCGACGACATGGGTGGAGATTCCGGTGGTGGAAGCTGAAGAGACGCCCCCTGAACACCACGAACACCATGCCCACACTGGCGACTATGCGGACGTGGACTCCAACAACCTCATGGGGGAGAACGACGACAAGCCGGAGGGGGTGTCCACGCAGGGGGAGGGCACCAGCTGGGGGGCGACCTGGAAAGATCGTCGTGATGCTCGATGGTGGGTTGGGGGACAAGGGCCACAGCGTACTGCCAAGCGGCGACAGAGAGTTGCTGACTGGCTGGAAGGGACGTGGAAACCAGCCTGGAGGATTGCCCAGGAAGAGCAAGCAGACAGGGGGCGGGCAATGAGGGAGATGGTGCGGCGGGAGCTGGCAGCCTACATTGCGGAGCAGCGTGTACCATTACCGCCCGTGCAGCCGAACGCGGTGAGGCCTACTCCAAGAGATGGGACGACACAAGCGGAGGATGCGGAGGAGTTCTACATCAACGAGCTCCTCACGCCGGACCATGAGCAGGACTGGGTGGCGGGGGTGGACAGATGGGTTGGGCCTTTGCCACCGGAACAAAGTGACGAGCGCCCGGTGGTCACGGACCAGGCCGAGCTGGACCGCATCATGGCGCAGAAGCAGGCGGAGCGGCAACGAATGATGATGGGGGCGGGGGTGTCTTACTACGCGGAGAGTGCTGGTGGTGGGGCGTCTTCGTCCAGTACAAGCGGTGCTAGTCTGCGGGACGGTGCCGGTCTACAGGGAGGTGCTGTTCTTCGGGGAGGTGCTGAACTACAGGGTGGAGCCGCTCTACCAGGAGGTCACGCACTACAAGGAGGTCCAGCGGATCCACATGGCGTTCCTCAGGGAGGTGCTGTTCCACAGGGAGGCGCTGAGCTGCAGGGTGGGGCCGCTCTACAAGGAGGTCACGCACTACAGGGAGGTCCAGCGGATCCGCATGGCGTTCCTCACGCGCATGATGGGGGGCCACCACATGGGACGTCTAGTGATGTTGGGGATGAAGATGTACCTCTGGCGCCAATGGAACTAGACGAGATGGAGGTGAAGGATTGGGACCCGCAGGAGGCGGACTATAGTGGGCTGATGCAACATGAGTTGGTGATGAGGCGCATCAATGAAGCCCGCCAGTTGGAGGACGCGCAGGGGGAGGTGGATGCAGCATTGGAGACGATGAGGGAGCAGCTTGACAGGCATGGGGTGGAAGGGGTGCTGCCGGAACTGCGTTGGGGAGTTCGCCGATGGGTGGAAGAAGAGCGTCGGGGTGTGCATTTTATGCAGCGGATACTCCAGCGCATCGAGGTGGAGGTCTTGGGGTGTGGAGGTGTGGAGCTTCCTCGTGAACGGCGTCCTCGAGATGTTATGGGGGAGGCGAGGGCCATGGCGTGGGCGAGACAATTTCGGGACCGACTCGCGCGCATAGCGAGGAGGGAAGCGCAGATCTCCGCACCGAGGGGGAGATCGCGTTCGCCGAGAGTGGCAGCAGCATCGTCGTCATCGAGACCTACAAGTACAGCGGTGGTAGGGCAAGGGGAGATGGTGGTCAATGACGGGGTGCTCGCGGTGGAGAATGGGTTACTGGCGGTTGAGGATGGGCTGCTGGCGGTTGAGGATGGCGCGCTTGTGGTTGCGGATGGGTCGCTGGAAAGTGCTGGGGGATCCACAGAAGTGGTGATGGTGGCCCATGAGGGGGAGGAGGCGGCCAGTGGAGGTGGTGGGGGGGCTGGTGAAGCTCGAGGAGGTGAAGTTCGTGGAAGTAATGGGGATGAGGAAGTAGACAGTGACGCCACCACGCTGCTTGAGTTCCCCGTGTCGTCGTTCTGGACTGCATCGCTGAGTACAAGCACTACGTCCTCGAGCCCATCGACCTCGTCTACACCGGGGGTGTCCTCTGCTACGACTGGGTCGTCCTCCACGACTGGATTGTCCTCTACCACATCGGGGGCGTCCTCTACGTTGACGTCGTTCCGGACTACATCGCCGTGTATCAGCACTACCTCTACTGCACCGGGGGCGTCCTCTCCTACGACTGGGTCGTCTTCTACCACTGGGTCGTCTTCTACCACATCGGGGGCGTCCTCTCCTGTGACTGGGTTGTCCTCTACCACTGGGTTGTCTTCTACCACGTCGGGGGCGTCTCCTACCACGTCGGGGACGTCTCCTGCACCGACGTTGTCAATGGAAGTTTGAGGGGGTGCAAGTAGTGGTGGTGGTGATGCAGACCATGGGTGGAAAGATTTGAAGCTCAACATGAGGGTTGTGAAGGTAAAAATGGTGGTGGTGGTGATGCTCGTCATTATGTTCTACCAGTCTGAGTGGGGAAAGGCCATTAAGCAACACAGTTTCACGGACCGGACAGCATTATTGCTGCGCACGGGTGATTCCGGTTAAAAAAAAAAAACCCTAAACCCTAAACCCTAAACCCTAAACCAGCCCGGCCTCGGAGCTTCGGGCCTAGGCCGGAGCTCTGTGGAGCTGCCCTGGCAAGCCGCGGCCTAGGTGCCATGAAGCCTTTTTTGTTTGAGGTTTGGGGGTAGGGCTTAGGGCTTAGGGCTTAGGGCTTAGGGCTTAGGGCTTAGGGCTTAGGGCTTAGGGCTTAGGGCTTAGGGCTTAGGGCTTTGGGCTTAGGGTTTTGGGGTTTAGGGTTTAGGGTTTAGGATTTAGGGGTTTCGGGTTTAGGGCAAAGTTTAGGTGTTTAGGGGTTTGGGGGTTTCGGGTTTGGGGGTTGAGGGGTTTTTGGGTTGGAGATTCAGTTTAGGGGTTCGGGCGGGGCGGGGGGGCGAGGGGCGGGCGGGGGGGGGGGGGGGGGGGGGGGGGCGGGGGTGGGGGGGGCGGGTGGGGGGGGCGGGCGGGCCGGGGGGGGGGGAGGGTTCAGAGTTTAGGCTTGGGGGTTGAGGGCCTAGGGTTTGGAGGTTCAGGGTTTCAAGGGTTTCGGGCTTAGCGTGGGGGTTTTGGGGCTTTAGGGTTCAAGGGGCATTCGGGGGTTGTAGGGCTTTCTGGGTTTTGGGTTGTAGGGGCTTTGGGGTTTTAGGGTTTGGGGATTTTCGGGTTGAAGGGTGTGGGGGCTCTGGGACTATGGGGTTCTAAGTGACTTGAAATGCAGCCTAAAAACATCCTTCTCCGAGAAAGGAAAGGTACATATCCAAGCCAACCCTAAACCCTAAACCCTAAACCCTAAACACTAAACACTAAACCCCAAACCCTAAACCCAAACCCTAAACCCTAAAACAGCCCCAACAAGAACTCACTTGACCCGATGGCCTCTGGGAAGGCACGTGCCGGAGCTCATCATTGTTACAGGCAGGGCTTCTGGATGTGTGTCGGGTCTATCCGGACTCCACGATTCCTGTTAGGGTTTGGGGTTTAGGGTTTAGGGTTTAGGGTTTAGGGTTTTGGGTTTTGGGTTTTGGGTTTTGGGTTTTGGGTGCCGGGGGGTGCCCGAAAACCTTAAGCCCTAAGCCCTACACTAGTGTGGAGGCCATCGGCTCAGACGGCGTGGGAACATGGGCATCAACGGCCTGTACCAGCGGTATCACCAGGCGCAGCTGATGAAAGTTTAGGGTTTAGGGTTTAAAGCGGGTGTTCGAGATCAAATATTCTGTTACCCTGAAGCTCGTCGCAGTTTACAGAGGCTAGAGTTTCAGGGTTTAGGGTTGGGGGTTCATGGTCGAAAGGTGTTTGGCTTCACGGCTTCGATCTCGGCGGTTTCATCCGTCAGCGCTCTTTTGCGCAGGACTTCCACGGACGACCCGTCTACCAAAAAGTGCTGGAGAGGCATCAAGCGCGGGGTTCAGGGTTTAGGGTTCAGGGTTTCAGGTTCAGGATTTGGGGGGTTCGTGTATGGGATTTCCAGCTCAGTTGGTTTTTTCATGTGTGTCTTCGAGCGGTTGGTATGGTTGGGTTTGGAGTAGCTTTTAGGGAGCCCTCCAGCTAACTGCCTGACATCCTAAACTGCAGATACTGAGACATAGAACAAGTCATACATGGAGATCGCAAGGAAAACAACACATTGATTTAAGCAAAAACCTAAAGGCCTATTCTTCTTCACAGCCACTGCCCCCCCCAATCCTGTCTTTGGTAAGTGGCAGAACGAACCAAAGGTACCCCAGGCTCTGCCCCCCCCCCCCCCCCCCCCCCCCCCCCCCTCAGTTGGAGCTCGAAAGCTTCAAGGTTTGAGGGGGTTGGTTTTTTGGCGGCTTGGTGCGTCCGGCTGCAGAGAAACCTGAGACACAACTATTCCTAAGCCCGAAGCCCTAACCTGAAACTCTGAACCCTAGACAAGAACCCCGTTAGCTAAAGTGACTTTGCCAAGGCTAGCCCTGCCTTGTGTAGGAAGCTCTGTAGGTGGAACATGTGACTTTCCGACATAAGGCCAACCAACGCTCGTTATTTTCTCTGCTCCTAGGCCCTTGGGACATTTTGTATGTTCCCTGGGGGTAAGAGGATCTCCCGGAATCTTTTTCAGAGGGTGTTAAGGGCCATGCTAGGCTCCTCAACCCTAGGCTCCTCAACCCTAAGCCCTAAACCTTAAACCCTAAACCCTAAACCCTAAACCCTCAAGTTCACCGGACAACCTACTCGTAGGAAGTAGGGTTTTGCTGCAGGGATCTCACTTCGTGCATAGGCGGAAGGTCCACAAGGAGCTGGTCACGGAGGACCGCGGAGCCATCACAGACTGTCATCTAGGGTTCAGGGTTTGGGATTTGGAGTTTAGGGTTTAGGGTTCAGGGTAAGTTTAGGGTTTTGGGTTTGGGTTTAGGGGTTCGGGTTTAGGGTTTAGGGTTTCGGGTTTAGGGATTTAGGGTTTACGGTTGGGGGTGGGCTCTACCATCATTTACTATGGGATTTGGGCTACCCACCGTGGGCCCTCCGTTACAGCTCCGTTGCAGCACCTGCTACAGTTCCGTTACAGCTCCGTTGCCCCTCCGTTACAGCTCCTTTACAGCTTCCGTTAGCTCCGCTACAGCTCCGTTACAGCTGGGGTACAGCTCCATTGCGCCTCCGTTACAGCTCCGTCACAGCTTCCGTTACAGCTTCCGTTACAGCTTCCGTTACAGCTTCCGTTTCAGCTTCCGCTACAGCTGCGTTACAGCTCCATTGCAGCTTCGTTGCACCTCCGTTACAGCTCCGTTACAGCTCGTTGCAGGTCCGCTACAGGTCCGTTATCAAGTTGCTGCTTCTGCTACGGCTCCGTTACAGCTTCCGTTACAGCATCGCTACAGCCGGTAGCGCCCCGTTGCAGCCTTCCGATACGGCTCCGTTACAGCTCCGCGACAAATCCGTTACAGCTCCGCTCCTTTCCGTTACAGTTTCTGTTATAAGCCCCGTTACCGGCGAGCGTTTCTGTCATAGTAGAGGCCTGCAAATGATGGTAGAGCCCTACCCCAAGTTTACGGTTTAAAGGTTCGGCTCTGGTGTCAGATGTTCTTGTAGGGTTGGGGGTTTAGGGTTTGGGGTGCCCCGTCATTTCGTCCGGGCGGTTTCTCTAAGGGTAACATCCTAAACCCACGCCACAGACCCCAATCCAAGACCCTGAACACTACACCCTAAACCCTAGACCCTAGACCCTGAACCCTATAAACCCGAAACCCTGAACCCTAAACCCAAAGCCCTGATCCTCTGGTCCCTGCGTTGTAAACAGCTCGGTTGGCTGTTGAGGCCTGAAGAGCCCCGGGAGTTTGGTTTAAGGTCAGGTGTTAGCTCTACCATCATCTACTCTTCAGACCTCTCCGCCACCGTCCGTTACAGCTCCGCTGCAGCGTCGACAGGGGCCTTTGCGTTGCAAATCCTGTAACGGCTGGACGTTATGGCCATAGCAGCGATGTCAAATGATGGTGTGGCTAACTAAGTTTAAGGCTTAGGGTTTAGGGTGTGGGGTGTAGGTCTTAGGGTTTAGGGTGTCTAGGGCGTCTAGTGTTTAGGATATATAGAGGGTGTGAAACTACGAAGCCGTGCAAGCCAGCACTTACAGCCTTAAATCTCCCGCAATCTGAAGCCAAAGCCACGCCTAAACCCTAAACCCTAAACCCTAAACCCTAAACCCTAAACCCTAAACCCTAAACCCTAAACCCTAAACCCTAAACCCTAAACCCTAAACCCTAAACCCTAAACCCTAAACCCTAACCCTAAACCCTAAAAACCCTAAACCCTAAACCCTAACCCTAAACCCTAAACCTAAACCCTAAACCCTAAACCCTAAACCCTAAACCCTAAAAACCCTAAACCCAAACCCTAAACCCTAAACCCTAAAACCCTTAAACCCCCTAACCCTAAACCCTAAACCCTAAACCCTAAACCCTAAACCCTAAACCCTAAACCCTAAACCCTAAACCCTAAACCCTAAACCCTAAACCCTAAACCCTAAACCCTAAACCCTCAACCCTAAACCCCAAACCCTAAACCCTCAACCCTGAACCCTCAACCCTGTCATCCCAAAGTCCACGTGCCCTACAGAGTCACCTGGAGACCCGTGCCCCGCAAAACCTGGTGCAGGATGGTGAGCTGATTCCTACCGTGGAGGAGGGGTTTGGGGTTTAGGGGGTTTGGGGTTTAGGGTTTCGGGTTTAGGGTTTAGGGTTTAGGGTTTAGGAGGGTGGCCCCCTTAAACCGCAGGTTTTTCATGGAGCTGGCAGGGATGATGCGGGCTTCTCGTGAGACGTAGGTTTTAAGCGCAAGCCTTCCCAACAAGAGCAGAGGTCAACAAAACCCCGCAGCCCTCTTCGAAACTCAGCAGGGTCCTGGGACATTTTGTATTTTCCCTTATTGGGTTTTAGAGGATTTTATTTAGGAAGATTTTTCAAAGCCCTCCTAGGAAACTAACTCAATTGCATTCTTTTGGGGTTTAGGGTTTAGGGTTTGGGGTTTAGGGTTTAGGGTTATGTCCTCTCATTATGAGTAAAGATTCCTATGGCGAGCTCTGCTTCTATCCAGATCTGCTTCAAACTCATTTCGGCTTCTCACATCGAGACAATGCATTAGACGCATGTGAATGACTTCGATACTCTCCTTCACATATAGCACCTGAAAGGTTTTTCTTATGCCAACATGCTTTTTTAAAGTTGTACTCAGTGCAAAGGCAGGGTTCCTCATCTTATCAAATTTACTTCTGTCTTCATCCTACGCTACTGTATGAGAAGTCTTTCAAAGTCCTACTAATTTCACTTACGACGCCTAGTAGATCCAGCGTGAACTGTGCCTGTGGTCTCTTTCACTCTCACAGCTCCGTGTAGGGTTTAGGGTTGCGGGATAAGGGTTTAGGGTGTCGGGTTTAAGGGTTTAGGATTCGAGTTGGGTGGGACACTAAACCAAACCTTGCTTCCTCATCTTGCCTCATACGACTTTATCTAAATAGGAT